AATAAAAGTGTTATCTTCCAAAATTGTTATAATTTCAAGTTATCTACGGTTAGTGCTGTCGAAATTCATCGAATCAGAACTGCTAGGGGTTGGTCAACTAGCCGCAGCTTCCTGTAGACAACGACCCAATAACTTGCAAGTTGAATTTTGAAATCATTCTGTCAGATCTTATCTCTAAAATTGCCTTAGACAGTAACGAATTCATGATGGAGTGGCACTTATGCGGTGCGGTCCTCCAATTATTTTTAATACGGTATGCTGAAATTTTTACTTCAGTTTCCATCACGATGTGAAAATAGTGGTAGGGGTAACAAAACTTCCAAGGCATGGAATCGAAGCTATGGCTGTTATACCGATACCTGGATAATCTCTGGAACTTTAATTTAATTTTTCTCTTGGTTGTTTGATCTTGATCTTTTTGACCACCAAATCCATCGGTTGTAAGTTCCTTATGATCTTTGAATATTTCAAAAGTCAATTGAAAAGACATATACCGCATATTTCAGCTTTAATCTGCTAAAGTGAGACAAGGGTAACTGAAAATTTGATTTTATGAGAAAATGTTCCTTAGAACACATGTTTGGAAATGACAGACACTAATTTATAGAGAATATCAGCAGAAATTTAGGAATAGACCATTTAATTCTGTTAAAAACTACCTCGCCTCACATAACCTTAAAATTGCCATATTCCCAGTAAAAAACAGAAAACCTAATCGATTGTTCTGTTAAAGGAGTCGAAATATTTTCTGAGATGGTCAACCCAGTTGCAAGGATTCATCTATAAATATTTTTTCTTTTTTGATTCCTTAAATATGTAGTCTAAAATAATGATCTAAATTTATTTTACTCATGAAGTATATTGAATTTTGATATACGGAGAAAGCAGAACACTACAGAGATACTTAAAGAGCTGTTATAAGGTAACTATAAAGCAAGTGGTATACCAACCGCCTACTGAACTTATTTCCATCACAAAAAACAAAATCTGTTCTCGAAAGAGTCGTATCTGAGTTACCAAGATGGTCTTCATTTAATTAATCATGAATTTTCATAACATGCAATCTTTTCTAGATGTCAGCGCCCCATACACCCCATACTCCAAGTCCTACAGGAAGCGTGGTAGGACCTCTAGAAAGCGGTGTGTCCTCCAACGGTAATCATAACGAGTCGAACAAGTCCGAAACCCAATCTGTCATGAAGGACGTCTACAACACTGAGAACGAGACACACTCTCCCACTAAGGAAGAGATTGAAACCAACGAAAAGAATCTCCAGCAGAGTGCTTCTTACTTGGGCCAACTAGTTTTCAAACTGAGGTAAGATAACTTTGGTTCATATAAATGGATTTTCTGACTTCATTACTGATGTTGAGAGAAATTTAACAATAATAACAGATACCAGAGAGCAATATGATTATGATAATGGTATGTATCAGTAAACGTTAGACTGTTAACTGGCAACTGACGTAAATACTATATTTAAATATTTTTTTCAACATGTTAGATTATAAGGCTCTTGAGGTCTATTGTGCACCTCCATGGTCTTAAAATTAATCTATTTCTAGTCTTAGGCTCCTTCATGTAATATTCAGCTTTTGGTTTCTCTTTCCCAAACAGCTGATGGTATATGTACCTTTGTTGAACAATATGACACTTTCATATATGTGAGCGGTGACGAGCAGAAACGGCACAAACCAAAATATAAGACCAATATTACTTATGGAATACATCCGAATCTCAGCTTCGTCGTAAAGTTGGGACAAAAGGATAGTCTTATTCAACGTTCACGTCAAGAGTAAACTAGATGATACCCTAAGAAAAGCGTTTATAAAAATTCGCCCTCAACAGATAGGTACTTGAATACTGAGCCTCATTACTATTTGATTCAGAAATAAAGTACCGTCAACACCTTAGTGCATCGAGAGCATACCATCTGCGAGACAGAACACTTGGACGAGCAACTACATCATTTATGATCAGTACTCATGGAAAATGGATCAGAAGAAAAAGAAACCAACAACCTATCTATCCTACAGACAAAGATATACTGATAAGTATCTTCTAAAGATCAATAACATATTTTATTCATAAAAATGTGGAAAAACGCTATTTTCAAAAATAGCCTGTTAATCATTTACTTGTCGAATCCGATCGGAATTGTGTCTTCGATATGAAAGTCTCTACAAATTTATTAATTTCACCCATTCAACTCCTGTGGAATCCACGCTATAATTTTGTGGTATTATCTTTGGTTCTATTCCTGAATTATTTAAAGTGGTTATTTTTAGTAGAGAAGCTTATGAATATTTAACAAATATCTATTTCGATCACGTTTTAATACATGCCCAGGTACTACGAAAAATGTACATAACCTTTTCTGGGCGACAGGTAAATTGAAAGCTATGTAGTGTCAGGTACATAGTTGTACGTACAGTCAATGAATTCCACCGAAAGTATTGGATATTTCACGGAATATTAATACACTCGCCGTTCATTGTAATTTAAACATGCATAAAAAATATCATACAACAAATTGCGTATGATAACTATAAATAAGAAATCAGCAGTTTTGGAAATTCCTATAAACTATTGTTTATTTTCCGATATTGATAAAAAAATATGACCTATTGAAGCTTAATTTCAGTGTCCAATGGCCATTTTCTTCTATAAGATTTTTATCAAATATTGACATGGTGAATATAAATATAAATACTATTTTAAATTACAGTACATATCTATGAGTTTGAGAAAATAAAGATGGTTATTTATACCTATGTAGACTTAATTTCTTCACAAAGGCTTCAGCAGAAAGGTTTTATCAGTAACGATTAATCATTATAAGAGAAGTAAATGTAGTTCGAGGACTATCCCTTCTTAAAACAAATCAGAAATTTGTTTGATCCGCTGTCGGAAATACTGTAGGGGACATCTTGTGCAACTGGTTGGTAACTTATGACCTTATTTTGTACCAGACTGGATAATTAAATTTACTTTCTGTTCTCTGAGAAAAATACATTTTCCTATAGGGAAGTAGGATAGTAAGATGGAAGAGCAGAAGATAGACCAAAAAGCATGGCAAGCGAAAAGCAGGGTAAAAAGGCAGAGGAACAGACCAGGGAACACGTGGAACAAGGTGTGGTAGTCTAGTTGAAGAATAAAGGATTAAGTTGGAATGAAGGAATAAAGATAGCGAAAATATATAAACGAAAATATATAAACAAGAAAGCATGCGCTAGATTTATATATAAATATACATAAAGGGTAATTCACACCTATTTTATTATTTTTCTATCTATTCTTAGGAAATACACATATGATACGTATATAAAAAAACAATTGACTGTTGCATTTCGAAGATATAGATAAAGTTTCTGTTTGTTTTAAATGGAACACCCTATATATTAGCCCGTTTTTGCATAGTATTTTGGTTTATTTACCCACCCTCCACAATGGATAAGGTTAAGATTGGTATAGAAGCATTGCATATTTATTATATTTTCATCTATTAAAGTTACTAAACAGATCTTTAATATGAAAAAAATACTATACTATAAAAAATGCTTTATCAATATAGCCTTATCCTGTTCTAAATATTTTTTTCTTATGGAAGAATATTATGATCCACAGGACCAATTTGATGCCAATGCAGTTTTTTCTGTGGAGGATTCTTAATAATAATTTATATGATCTAGAAATAACGAAGTAAAGTGGATAACAATGCATAAAAAACTTGCATGTTATTCATACACGTCCTTTGAACAGAATGAAGGTATTTAGAAAACACTTTTTATAAAAACATATCTTTCCTTAATAGAGAATCAGAGAATTTAAAGATCTTTTTAGTAAATTCAACAGCGGAAACATGCACACACTGATTTCCTGGCAATCCTGACTAGGTGCAGAATAAATTCAAAATATTGTGGAAATTGTCAAAGGTTAACATTGTAATTAAAAAAAACAATAAATATACAAGGTGTTCTATTTAAAAAACCCATAATGTGAGCTGTATCAACAAAATTCAACAATCAATAATTTTTTCGATGTACTGCTTTGAATCGCAAAATTTCCTAAAAAGTTTCATATTTATTTTTCTAGCTCGCCCTGTATATGTGGTAAACATTATTATATTATCTAGCTTTCCATCACCGTACTATACAATAACACCCAATTGATTACTATTAACTCTGCGAGACGTCGCAATATCCTCGGCTCGTGTGGAGCAAATTATGTGGACTAACTTTATTAAAGGTACTATACAACAGAAACGTTGCTTAGCGAACCATAAAATTTTATGGGTCACCAGACTGCAGCGCATTTTTCCTCCCCTAAAAGTCAGATTCTTACACAATATTAAGCTGCTTCGCTGGTGATTTTTATAAAGGTGATATTAGGGTATTTCATTTGATAGATGCCTAATGCGCACGGATAACATTAAGCTTTCTTTAAATGATAAGCAAAACAATAAAATGTACGTAATCAAGTTATTGCTTAGGAAGACTTTCAATCATTTCAAAAGAAAAATTGATTACAGTCAGCAAACTGGTAAAATTAAATACAGGGTATGTCCAGAAAATAACCGAAATTTATTTATTTAAGCTATATTATTAATTTTATACATTATAAAATCAAATCTCTCAATCAAAGTATTTGGTTACTTTCTGAACAGACTTCGTATTATATAACATAGAAAAATAATTTTCTAGACAATAATATAGAAAAATAATAATTAAGAATGATATATTGATTGATAATATAATTGAGCTCTATTCAAATTGCTCAAACTGCAATATGCCAAAGTTAAAAAAAATAGAATGGAAATATAAAACAGAAACAGAAAAACATAAAGTTTCAAGACTACATTTTATCTAACGAACACTGTTCTGCTTTAGTAACACTAGTTGTTGTATAAGAAATCTGACAATAATACTGCATCTAACATATTAAAAATATAAATATCGACATTACTCCAATGGCCTATATCAATTTTCTAAACATCGTTGGCGTTTTTCAGGTATAAGCACGACAAGAATGCTCTCATAGTGTCAGTGGTGCGTTGTCGAGATCTGCCAGCGAAAGATCCTAACTTAGGTTCTAGTGATCCATACGTAAAACTCCAACTGCTTCCCGATAAGCAGCACAAAGTCAAGACCCGAGTCCTAAGGAAAACTAGGAACCCCGTCTACGATGAAGACTTCACTTTTTACGGCATAGGTAATATTGGACAGTAGATATTTAGGTGTAAACAACCAACATAACATTCTAATAATATCGTCTAAGGTATTTCTTTAGAGCAATGACCAGTATTGAAATATTTTTGTATTTAGGATTTAACCAGTTACCTAACATCACCCTGCACTTTGTGGTGCTAAGTTTCGATCGGTATAGTAGAGACGACATCATCGGGGAGGTTTTCTGTGCCCTCAACACCGTCGATGTTACCCAGATCGAGACCCAACAGATGGCGCTTTGCAGAGAAATCCAACCGAGGAGTTTGAAGGTACTCACAATTTAATTTTTATTATTAAATAAAAATTAATTACGAAATAAAAATATGGAAACTATTTGTTTTTTATACGATGATAAAGAAAACATTTAGGCAGATCAATTTTTTTTGTTGATAATTCCTTAATTTTAAGAACTAGAGTCTAGTTCTAGCCTTTAATTTTACTAATATATTACTTTAATATATTGAGTGACATCTCTTTTGAAATGAAGAGAAATTTGGAGATTTTTTTTTGTAGATATTTTGAAATAAACCAAAACTATTTGAACAAAGAATATTCGTAACTGATATTGTAAAGTTATTTTTTAAATCAATGCTTTGAAGAATTTGTTCGATGATATCTAAAGTAACATAAATATTATGAAAAGTTGGAAAAGGCATAAACTGGACTTTAAAAAGTTAACAGAGTACATTTAAAACATACTTACATTAAACCAATATTTAGGTTAAAGATATTACTTTTTTTGTGTATGTTTAGGAGCTCTGCTAGTCGTGAAACTTATTTTAAGTGAAAAAGTATTTAGTTCATAATATAAATTGTTAAGCTTTGTTTGTAATTATAATTTTCGACTATGTTTATAATATTTTTGATAGATTTTTCAGATACCGACATATATTTTTTAATTCCGTAATAATGATATAAAATATCAAAATCATCATTTTAATAAAATAAATTGTAAATAAAAATATAAATGTATTTGAGAATTTTCTCAATATTCGAATATAAGCTTGATCAAAATAAAGACATATTCTGTGAAATAGTTTCATTAAAAATGCTGTTTAATTGTAATGGAAAAATTTCAAATTACTCAAAATACTTTCAGAGACATTTAAAACGAGACAACACAAATTTAGTCTCATTACTAATGTACTTTTTAATTAAAAAAAATATTGAATTGATTATTGATCGAATATTCAATTTTTCAAAATGCAAACAATGCAATTGCTCTCATCAAATCGACCATGTCCTTTTGCTCCTGCAAATTCGGCACCAACTTGACAACCCTTATAAAGGTAATAGAGTATTGATTAAAACAAAAACTGTTTATAATACGCTCTATTATTATGCTCTCTGCTCTACTGATTTAAAACGTGTCCAAAGTGTATCTTTTGTTATATTCCTGCCCTTACTGACATTTCAGGTTCAGCGAGACCTTCAATAAAGTTTAACTGCAGAATTTATTACCCGTGCCTTAGTTAATTCCAAGGACTATCCGTCTTATATTTCCCCTTTAATAGTCAATATTGGAATTTATGTCTATAATATATTAGGTGATACAAGGCAAAAAAAACAATACTGTTTTCCTTTACTACTTACAGGAGCTTATTACTGATACGCAACGACAACTAAATTCTGTTACTAATGATTTTATAGAGATTTTTAGATTTATTTTGACTATTAACGTTGTGTTTGAGTATTATTTGTTCGCAAATTATCATATTTTTAGTACTAATTATCTGAATATATGTATAAAAAGCTGTTTATGTGTCCCACGCAAAGGAAACGGCTTTAGTAATCTCCTTTTGCATAGCCCTGCACAAAAGTTGATCTAAAGCCAACATTGCGCTTGAAGTAGTTGGATAATATGCCGATTTTCTAGGTCCGAAACATGACTATTTCTAGTACTAAACATTCCTCTCGTAAACGAATCTCGTCCCTCTTAAACCTATTTTCTCTAAATTGTGCATCTTGTCGGGTACAACCGCCAATAAAACTCCCTTGGACGTATGTAAAATCCATTAATGCAAGAAGATTTTCATGTACGATTCTTCATAGAATCTTTTGTGACAACCTTAACCAAATGTATTTATTTGTCTCAACAGCACGTCATGTAATTATGGCACAAAATTCTTAAGGATTAAAAGTTGACATTGTTAGACTTTTGCATCACAATCTTATCTAACGTCTTATCTAACTAAAGTATAAAACACAAGAGCACCAACATGATAAATATTTCTAACATTTCTCAATCTGTCAGTTGACAGTTTTCGAATAATACGATACTTTGCAGGCACAACATATTGGAATAAACTACTTTAAAATAACGCCAGGTTCTAATAAATCACTATAAATTAATAGATTTGTAATGGTGAAATTAACTCTGGTGTATTTTGACGTATCATTGCGCTTTTTCTAGATACGGTCCCAAGGAAGAGGCGAACTGCTCGTCTCCCTCTGCTGGCAACCGGCTGCAAATCGACTAACTGTCGTCGTCCTTAAGGCCAGAAACCTTCCCAAGATGGACGTCACTGGTTTGGCAGATCCTTATGTTAAGATCTATTTGCTCTACAACGGTAAGAACTAACTTTAACTGTCCAGGACATCGTCAACCAAACATTGACGAGAAATATATTACCCTCGATCCTCTCTCTAATGTACCTAACTGTATTTTCAGGACAACGAATCGCCAAGAAAAAAACCCACGTGAAAAAGAGAACTCTTAGTCCCGTCTTCAATGAGAGCTTCGTTTTCGACATCCCACAAGGAGGTGAAGGTTTGGAAGCCGTTAGCCTGGAATTCTTGCTTTTGGATTGGGATCGAGTAACAAAGAACGAGGTGAGAAACACATTTAAAATTTTATTTCAGTGAAATGTTGCCTATTCTCGACACTAATTGCCACATGATGAGTCCTTCACATTTCAAAACTCTCTTGATTTCTTCTTCAGAAATTCTGAAACTGAAGAGTAAATCTAGTCTGTACTTATATTTGCTCTGTGTACTGGTCCTTGGCATCAATGCCTAGGTCTTTAATGCGGTCAAATTGGCAGAGAGCAACCTGCATAATGATATAAAAGAGACTAAACTCTATACCGGTATAAGTCTAGTGGTTCGGAAGACGAATGGTCCTAAAAGTTTACTAGATATTGTGGGTATAATGCAATGCTGGTCGGCGCATTAGTCCGCAGAGTAGTTGTTTCCTACAATTTCATGTACAACAGTAATTCGAGGTAGTTCTAAGCTTCGATTGAAATTAATCTGATTTTTTTGGATGTCTATTACTTCTCTGTAGAATTTCTTTTATAAAATTACTTAGTTCTATACTCCGAATTACTTAGTTCTATAAGTACTCCGCAACTGCTGAGTTCCCTCCATTATTATTATTTAAGAGACACTTGTGCTCTTTTAATCTCGCAACACAAATTAATGTCAAAACTCTAGTAAGCAAGAGAATATTTTGATCAAGATTCACAGAAGAGCAACGGAAAGAAAAATCTGAATAATCTCAACCAGAGTAGAGTGCTTAGAACTTTTGAAATTTGTAAAAGACTACATATAGCAGAACGGAACATCACAAGCCAGGGGTTTCAAACCACGAAAAGGGACTTAGTCTTCAGCTTCAGAGATTCTTCTGAAGAAGAAAATTCTTTTTTCTCATCTCGCGAAACGTCTAAATCGACGACGCTACGTGGCAACCAGTCCAAAAATTGCTCCATTGAATGCCACAGAAGATCACAAACCAATAGTCTAGGAGCCATATAGGGTTCCGTGGCCAATCAGAGTGCCACGGCTGCAAACAACTTTTTCTGGAGTATTTTGACCTCCTGAATCCAAAAAACTTCGCAAAGTCTGAAAGTGGTCAGTTTAATTGTTATTAACAAATTAAATGTTTAAATGGCTGTAAAAAGTTTATTTTTATAGCTAGTACAATTTTTTATGCATTAATAGTTACGTTTTCTCACAACGAACATATACTTTTTTGATAATTTGAGTTATTGCAAATTTAGTGCAATATTTTCATTTTCCGTCTCCGCGCACACCAATTTTACCATATTTCTGGTTCTATTGGACGGATTGAGACGCACGACATCTAATTTTAAAGCTTGAACTTTATTTTACAAGACAGGTAAGTTCCATTAATTAATTTATTTATTTAACAATTAATGGCAGCTTGGAAAGTTGTGAAATTCCAAGAAAAATGCTGGTTTTATGTGTTTATAAGGCTTTTTTATTATTCAACTTCGATGAAATGCGAACAAAGTTATCGAATATTGTTCCTCGCATCCTAACAATCATTTCATGCCTTAAGTTATTAGTTTTTCTTTATCAAAACCCGTGAAAAGACGCGCGTACGTCGAGAACGATATACGCACGCTCGATCGAAAGAGTTGTTTGCAGCCGTGGCACTCTGATTAGCCACGGAACCCTATCTGGCTCCTAGACTACAAAGTGCTTGAGCTGTTTATATATTTCTGGCTACTATTCGTTTTGCAGGTCATCGGAAGGCTAGAATTGGGCGGATCAAAATGCACGGGCACCGCGCAACATCACTGGAACGAGGTCTGCAATTCACCGAGGAGGCAGATAGCCGACTGGCACAAGCTGCGGGAGTAAAACGAGGACCTTAGGGTAGCTTTTGTGTTGCTTGAAGTCAATTCAAGTCGTTCCAAAACCGCAACACACCCACCACACAAGCAGCTTGTCGACAAGCACATTATTTCGGTTCTTAGACGAAACAATAACTGACAACATATTCCTTTTAGGAAACAAAAATAACCCAGATAACGCATAACGAAAGGGGATTAGAATAGTGATTATGATTGCAGATTAGTCTTAACTTAAAAGTATTCGATTTCAGATGTTATTAAAGGGCAAATGTAATGTTAATTTGGGAAAATACAGTGTGTTATCTAGGGGATAGAGCACCTTTATTCTACTTTTATGCTATTTTTAAAGAGGACACATTGAATTGACTTTCTAATTGTACGTAGGGAGTTTTAGAATAAGAATAATAAGTCCTTTTAAAAAACCGTTGCCCGGTGGTGGCGTTTTTTGAAAGTATCTACAGTTAGTAGACATATACCTGTTTAAATGTAAACACTATCAATATACCATCAAATATAACAGACATAATAGTGGACGGCATCTAGTTAGAAAAAAACTAGGGCTTTAATTTTCCTGAAAGAAATACTAGTTATGTGTAAATAAGATATAAATGTTTATACCGTAAACTTAGGTTACATAACTTTAAAGATTCGCTTTAAATATAATTTTTTACTAAAAGTGCTATGCTAAAATTGTGAAATGTGGCAATCGGATGTACAGGAAGTATTTTGACAATTACATAATACAGATATGATAATTTCGGACATGGATTTCAGGATAAATATTCTGTGTTAGCCAAAAGTAAGACATACGACTTGATCAGCTCCTGAAAGGAAAACCTTTACCTTTATGTAGATACTATCCAATTAGTAAATTTACAGTAAAACATATTTTTCCCGATAGGTTATCAACCAAGAAGTGTGATTGGATAGTATGAGTTTAATCAAATTTTCTGAATGCTTATTTGATTCACAGACCGACAAAAATTTATACCAGAAACCAATCTTACCTCTCATCGTTCGATCGCGTCAGGTTTTCGAGATATCCCAACCTAAAAATGCGAAAGATACGCTATATTTCAGGTAATGTTACATCACGAGATGATTTTTCTCCACAAAACACGTTTTGGCATTTGAAAGCATCACTTTTCTTCTTCAAAATACCTTCTCAGTCCAACCAATCGTTTCTTGAAATTTATTAGTTTGAGGTATTCGTCGATATTCGAAAATGGCATCAGGTCAAAAAGAAAGACGAATGAAACTACAAACAACGAAATTCTCTCTGGTTCTCCAGGTTTCCGGAGTCGCTGATTACGAATATGAAGTCAGAATTACAAAATTAAAATTGGCGGATCCAATACGTTTTATTTGAAATTAATTAAGTCAAGGCTTATTTTGATGAAAATAGTTTTGTCTAACCAAAAATCCGATACTGAAACAAGCAGATAAATATAAAATACAAGTTAGTCAAAAGTATGAAAGCATTTTTGGGATAAATAGTGAGGACAAGTCTTTTTCACGGAGCATCCGATGGTAACCTTGACCCTGAGGTCAAAGTCAAGGCTCAAGGTCATATCAAGATCAACTCGATTTTTTTAAATGACGACCCTCCTTTTCGACCCTGGAAAAGGAAGGAGCAGAGAATTCGACATCCTAATATGACATTGACCGTGACTTCAAGGTTAATGGTCAAGGTTAAATGTTGATTTTTAGTGTTATTTTTTATTTTTACCTACGGAACCATAGGGAGTGACAGTCTTTGGGTAGATACCCGATGGTACTTCTTAGTGACCTTGATCTTGAAATAACAAACAAAAAAATTCCGAGTAACTTCTATTCTATCGTCGAAAATAAAAAATTACAGCCAGAATAATTACTTGACCTCTACATGACCTTGACCATCGACCTTAAAGTCATGTTTAACTTCACAATAGCATTTTACGCTCTCTTATTTTTAGCCGATATGACCTTGACATGTTCTTTTGACCTTGACCTCAGGCAAATCCATTTTCATAAAAAATAACCCTTACCTGCCTTCATTTCGTTAATTAATAATTAGACTGTATGTAAGTGGATGTATGAAAAATAATGAGTAAATTATTGGTGATTTATACACCATTTTTTACTGATCTTTTTTTCTTTGTTTTAACGAGGAATCAGACTTCAAAGTGTACCGCAACGTTGCGGAAGAGTTCATAAATTTTTAAATTTTTTTAGCAGATGGCAAAATGTCCAATAAATATGAAAAAAAATGAATAATATGCCTTCAAATAAACAACTAAGACATTATCCAATATAACGAATAGAATAAAAAAATGTTGGAATTTAGAAATGGAAAAAATTCGACAAAATTTCGAAAACCTGAAGAACCAGTGGAATTTCTAATTTGATTTTTCTCTCTTTCTGAGTTTTCGGATGCTACTCAATTTCCGAATATATTAAAATACGCCAAGTTAATAAATTCCAACAAACGATTTCTTGGAAAGGAAAACGAACAATGCAAAATGAATTTTGAAGAAGAGCACTTTTAGAGAGTTTGTGGAGAAAAATTACCTCGTGATGTAACATAACCTCAAATATAGCGAGCCCGACTCGGATTCATTGCATCGACGAGGATATAGTTTGGTTTCTGGTATAGAAAGTTTGTCACATTTTGTCGGCCTGTGTTATTTTTTCGTTAATTTTATTATTATTTATTATTACACTATTCAAATAAATACCATAAATTTATTTAATCTTGCATATGGATATCTCCAAAAGAGTTAAACATTTTTGAAGAAGAGAATTAATAGTACAAAACTGTACAAAATGTTTTTCGAATTTTAAGTTCTGATTTATATACAACAAAAATAATAGTGTAAACATGGAGACAACTACTAATTAAAAAAATTTACGAGATATCCGACATGTCTATTTAAGAATGACACTAGCTCGATAAAGCTGTAAGTTGCAATGTACCGGAAACGCTTTAGTCGATAAATCGGTGTATTATTTCATCTTATGTCGTTTATTACGAAAAGAAGTAATTTGCTGAAGATTCCAAGCGTTGAAATTTTATATTTTGTTAAACTATAACGCACTACAACCTTACCGAATTGTGGTCCATTCCTGTTAGGTCGTTTCATAGCATTTCCGACTAAAAAATAATAAAATGGCCAGGGTTGCGCTTAGCGCATGAGTAGTATTGAGTAAATTTAACTTACCTAGCGAAACTTAGCTTTGTTATAGAGAGGTTTGTGATATAGTCTTAAGGTGACAAATATATATTTAGGCGGTTTGTAAAAGTGACAGGAAACTATAAAATTAGCTCGCCAAGGTAGCTTCGCATAAAATTGGGTCGAAAATTTAAACGCGTGTAACTCCGGTAGCTGGAAGTCATATACTGCGTGTCCCATTTAAAAAAATACACGTGAATATCTCTTAAGTTACGGGCTAAATGAAAAAATTTTTCAAATAATACATCATACAATAAAAGTTGTAGGATTTTGAGGGGGACATCTAAAGGTGACCTTGATCATGACCTTCAAGGTCATTCGAAGGTTAAGTAGATTTTTTCAAATGGAAACATATTTTTTACACCAGAAATGAAAAGAGCAGAAAATTTTACATCCGATTATGACCTTGACCATGACCTTCGAGGTAATTTGAAGGTCATTTTAGTTTTTGTTGCAAAATTCTACATTTGAGATCAGAAACGAGAAGAGCGGGTTATTTCACGCCCATCTATGACATTGACCTTGACCTTCACGGTCATTTCAAGGTCAAGTTAATTTTTCAAATAGAAACCGACATCTTTCAGACCAAAATAGAAAGTGCGAAGAATGTTGCTTCCTGATATAACCTTGATCGTGACCTTAAGTCTCAAAAGTCATTTGAATGTCATTCTAGTATTTTGCAGGCAAAACTTAAATCTTGTTCATATTTTTCTTTTTGTTATGTGGGGCTCGCCATAATTTTCCAGAATACCCATTAACCCTTTGCGGCATGCATTTTTTATTCAAATGTTTTTGAATTCAGACTAGCTCAGAATTTAGTAATAGTTAAATCCGATACAGCGGATCCAATATATCGAATACTCGGCTCGACCTTGAGTTTTAACATAGGTTGAAGCATTTTCAAAGTGTTAATCCATATGAATATTAAAAATGTTTGCCAAAAATTGGTCGGCCATATTGGATTTGAATATTTTCAAATTCTGACTTCATATTCGCGATCAGCGCCCTCGAAAACCCCCCGAGTTCATTATTCGGCAAGACGGAAATGAATTCTGCAACAAAAAACTAAAATGATCTTCAAATGCCCTGAAGGGCATGGTCAAGGTCATAGTCGGATGTAAAATTTTCTGCTCTTTTCATTTCTGGTGTCAAAAATATGTGTTTCCATTTGAAAAAATCAACTTGACCTTGAAATGACCTTGAAGGTCATGGTCAAGGTCACCATTAGTCCCCCCCCCCCAAAAAACCTACAACTTTTATTTGAAAGATGTTTTCAATAAGTTCTTAACATAAGAGATATTCACGTGTATTTTTTAAAATGGACACCCGGTATATATTTAATTTGTAATATTTATCTTTCCCCATTGGTTGGTTTTGTAAATACCTTATAAATCTTCATATTTTTGTCATGGTATCCTTAGTCATAAGTAGAAGATATTCGGCTTTTACTCAATGTACCAAAACTAGTTACACTAGTCACAAAAATTGAATGATAAAAAAAATCCTAAATTTTTAGGTGATTTTCAAAAGGCTGTAGCAATAAAAAAAGGAAACCAAATTGAGGCTTGAAGTTTCTAGTTTCAAGTTTAAAATTATTATCGTTGATCAGCTTTAAGAAATCATAGATCATGATTTAAAGGTGGTTAACGATACAAAATTTTGATTTTCAGATCCTAGGAAATACAAGCTTCAAATTGATTTTTTTTAAATTGTTGTACGACCAAGTATTTTATGCTTTAATGTTTGTGTCTAGTTTAAGTAAATCATTTTCTGTTAACGAATGAATGTAGGTATATATCTTAGAATACACATAGTTTAATAGATCTAATGTAAAACCATATTAATACACCTTAAAGGGATGGCACTTATTTAATTAACAATTTACGCATTACAGATTTTCTTTTTTTGAATTTCAATTTAAGGAATTGAGAGATTTCTGCTCAATTTTCAGTTACAATTTGTTGTAACAACATCCCTTTACGGTTTACTATTTCCACACTACAAAAAACACCGTTACTTAAACAAAATATTATTGAATGCAGTACGAGAACCACAAATCGTTTCAAATTAATTTTAGTCTAGAATTTTTTACGCATGTACACCTTAGTGCAGTAGCACAATTCACTTCAACTTCCGTGTGTTTTTTTTATACGACATTGAAGAAATATAGGTTGGATTCTTTATAGTGGACACTAATTGTATTCATACTACCCCTTCCTGTAAAAGTAATGCTTATGGTATAAGGGTTGCCGATTTGTATAATTTTCTCCAAATGTGACTAAATGTTGCCGATGTTGTTATCCTCCTAGTTTCCTGAAGTCTAAAATATACCATTTTATAAAGATGGTGTTCGGTGTTTTACTTATACGATCACCACTTCAATTAATAAAAAACAACGACACGTGATGTTTCTTAAAAATAGAAGAAGTAACAGTCTACTTATAACCACTATGATTAAACTACACAATACATACTTAATTCTTAGGACCGATGTTTTTTTACTATGAAAGCCAAACGTTGTGGAATTGCTTATAAATGTATCCATATTTTGCAGTAATATTGCTACTACTATTCAATGTCTTTTTTATACGATATAGCAAGTTTAGTGTATCTTGGGCATAAAAAAAATAATTTTTGCATGCGCAAAATTTTCAATTTGTGCGTCTAAAATATGATTTTGTTGTATTTAAAACTATGTACAAATTTGCATGCCAAATATATACTAGACATGCTTTGCCCCAATATATTTACTTGATAATATTAAAACATTTTTTTAATTTGTTAATTATGTACAATTTACATACTGACCTGTCCTGATTTTTATAAGTTCTTGGCTTTATTGAGTACTTGTAATTACTAATGTATATAGGTACTAAAGGAATAAATGTTCAGTGGTTTATAATATTACTTGGTTTTATTACTATTTTGATTCCCATCTGTAGCAGAAGCACAGACGAAATAGCGACGTAAATAGTTCTTTTATTTGTGGCGGAAATACCTACTTTTGAAAATTGAGATTTGAGAAAAGAATAATATAAAGTTTAGTAACGCTGTTTTAATTATACAGTGTAGGAAAAATTGTGAGACAGCAACCCATAATACATCAAATAGTCATTTAATTAATATGTTTTTTCGAATATTTTAGATAGGTTAACTGTTGTCTCGAAAAATTTAAGACACTAACAGACGTCCATAAACACATCACGATCATATTTGTGAAGTCAAAATGATTATAATTTAATAAAAACATATTCGCACGAATTGATATTTCTTACTAGTACTCAATAAAACGTGGTAGGTTTTGTTATACCTACTAGTTGCTATGGTACGTTGTTTATTATCAATTATTTAATAAATAGTTGTATTCTATCTGAATTTCGTAAAAATGCAAGAAAGTAATTGTGTTCCTGTGGCTGTTTTTGAAGAAGCTCAAAGAAGCAATTTTTCGTTTGTTGCCAGCGAAATCCAAGCAACATTACGAAAAGGTGTTTGCCGAATTTAACAAATGGAGGCAAAAACGGAGAGTAATGACAATAAATGAAGAAATCATGCTATCGTATTTATTAAATATGAAGAAAAAATATACAATTTCATCTATGTGGTCGAAGTATTCGATGTTGTTGAAATATAGATATTGGAAAATATAACAAGCTTACTGCTTTTTTGAAGAGTGAATCAAGAGGATACAGAGCAAAAAAAGCTGCAGTATTGGAAAGAGCACATATTGAATAATTTTTGAATGGGGCTTCCGATGAAGAACATTTATTGATTAAGGTAATATGTCTTTATCTTTTAAATGTTGTTAGGTATATAGTAAACTTGAACGAAATTATTACTTAATCATGGTCCATGATATAGAAGTTGCAAGAGGTAACAATTTTTGTAGCTATTAATTTTTAATCTCTTGATAGTTTATGAAGTTTTTGCAACAAATTGTAAAAAATATAAATACCAATATCCAAAAAAAATTTAGAGTCTATTATAGAAGTCGATAAATATTCGACTTTGGAAACAAAAGTTGCAAACATTTTGGGAAAAATATTGTGTTTTTCCAATATTTCATGCAACCTTTATATTAATGTAGATATAATAATCTCTTAAAAATATTAGTCCAGTCTTTATAGATATGAAACAGCCTGTTTCGGGAAAAAAATACTATTAGAAGTTTCTCTGCGGAATATTGTCGAAAATTTTTTCAACTGCTAATAATTAATGCAATTTTCATCACAGACACTTGTAATTCAGGATTTTTGAGGCTTTTTGCACCCTTAATAAGTGGTAAACATTTCAGCCCGAAAGCTTCATTAGTTTAGCGTTGGCGGAATTTGTTATCTAAGTAAACGCTATTTTCAATTGATTTTTCCCAAGCTCAAAGGCGTTGTTGAGTTTCGATCATTAGTTGTTTTTGTACCTAAATAGTTGTTCGACCATTTTTGAGCTTTTGCGCATAAACAAATTATCGGAATTTAATCGGACTTGTCTTATTTTACAGATTTATTTAATACCTACCTTTTTTGTATAAACCTGTTTTCTCTGTGAATAACAGTTTTTTTACGCGAGTCAAAAAACCACTTTTCCATAACTTTGACTTTTAACAAAGTTTCTCAACTAGTCTCCAGTTGATTTTTTGATATGTTGTTTATAACACGTTTCTGAACAATATTCCACAAAAAAACTTCTAATAGTATTTTTTTCCCGAAAAAAGCTATAATGACTGGCCTATATATATTTTATTACTAGCTAGCTGTTTCTAAAAATCCTTATCAGATGAAATCGTTCGAAATATTCTTCGATACCAAAAATATAGATAAGCTAAATATATTATAACGATTTAATCACATTCCGAGAAAAAAATACTTTTTTTTGAGGATTTGGGAGGGGTCATTTTTTCGTTTTCTCAGTTGTGAGAATCTCTCCATATCTCACGGTCTCCGACATGGCAATGCTATCGTAGCCAATTTAAACAGCTTGTGTAATATTCGAATGTCGTGAATTGTAAACTCTTAATAAACAAAAATATATAGGGTGTTCAAAAATGACGCCGACATTTTTTCTTATTTCTGTCAGAATTCACTTATACACTTTTGTCAGTGTAACTTTTAAACAAACTGTATTGTGATTAAACTAATACTGTTTTTTGAATGTTGACTATTACCATATTACTGTTAATTTAATGTTATTCTAAAACTTTTCGTACAGTCAAAATGGTCTATTAAAAAAGTTATCTGCAAGCATTTTATCAAATTGTACTTTATAACTACATTATATGAGGCAATATAGAGAACATATTTGTTTACAATAAAACAATAATTACTAAACTCCCACCACACTGGGCGTTATCTGCCGTTTTCCTGATAAGGAGCTACTAAATTTCACAGTTCTCAAGTTTTGCTCCTTGACAATACTTCAATGATTATATCGAAACACTATTGCCGTGTGATTTTTTCGGTGCGGGATCTATTTGTGTAACGTATACTACAAAGTGAAATGCAAAAATTACCATGAAATTAATCTTCTTTAAACAAAATTGGTTTAAAAAAAATGGAAACTCATTGTTGATACTATCTAATTCGAGGCAGGTGTTTATAATTCCCGAAAGATAAATGTTTTGGGGAGAAAAACGAGATAGCCAAGCTTAATAATAGTAGTTGCTGATTCAATTGTGTTCAACCCATAAGAAACGAAGGTTGTTCTTGATCTTACTGTAAGTACAACATTATTAAATCTCGCTTAGATGCAGTTGCAGAAAAATTTCAATCATGTTAAATTTGACATTTTGTCCACGAAATTTATTTTTTGACATTTTTGACCAATAAGAACTAATAATTGTACTTGTACAGATATAACATTTGTGAAAATTAATCATAATTTACATGTATGTAATATACTGAATAGGTAATAATAATCGGTATTAGTGAAAATTGCACTAATCTGTCACAGTAACAGTTCATTTAAATTATTGTTATTTTTAATCAATTAAAACAGAATTACGTGATAATTTGGCACTAGTGTAATTATTGACAACTGCAGTATTTGTGCAAATTTAGGAAATATTATTTATACTTTTGACATTTTATCTAGAGCATTGATTCACCTTATTGTCATTTCTAATCAAACTTAATAGAAATAAATGATAATTTTACACTGATGCAATTATTATTGCACCAGTGACGAAACCTCTCGATATTATCCATAACATTGCTTATACTTATCATTTTCTGAAAATTTTATTTTTGAAATTTTATCAAGAAGATTCATTTACTTTATTGGTATTCTTAAACAATCAGAATATAATTATGCGATAATTTTGCACTAGTACATTTGCAGGTACACTAGTGTAATTTACATAATCTTCATTATGCTTATTATGCCACTACTGGAAATGTCATTAATTTTTTAAATATAACATTCTATCAAGGAAATTCTTTTATCTTATTAATTTAAACGAAGCAAAATATAATTAAGTAATTCTTTTACGCTAGTGCAATTGTCGATAATTATAACAGTGCAAAAATTACTTATGTGCAAATTTCCACAAAATATCCATAATTTTCTATACTACTAGGAATTTGATTTTTCTCTCAATTTGACATCTCATCAAAAAAATCATTTATTTTAAACAGAATTAGTGATAATTTTACACTACTGCTATTACACATAATTACACCAGTGCAAAATATGTATTAATAGTGAAATCATATACATATCTGTTATTATTTTTATCGGCATTTTGAAAAGTAATTTGACATACAAGTTTTGAAACATTATTATTTACGAATAACGCATTTTAACTAATACAACACTGTGAAACTGATTGTTCAATTAAATGATTAAGTGATTATTAAAATTTTGGTAATTGATAACACGGTCTTAAACGTTATGATGGAGTTATTAGAAAAATGCCATTATTTTGATATCAACATGTTTTGACTGACAGAGATATATTACTTCATTTTAAAAGTTTCCTATAATTTTTAATAAATCATGCCACTTTTAAGAAAAGGATATATAATTTTCATTGCTATTAATAATAATTTATATGATGTAATTACGTGGACACAGCAACAAAAAATCTTAAGAACATCAAATATCCCGCAAACTATAAGAAATAGATCCAAATACACTGCAACAAAATCCAAAGGAAATTAAATTTTACATCTGTCCATGGCAAATTTGATATTGAGTTCAATTTCAAAAAATCAAGATATTCATGATCAACAGCGAAGTTAGATAATATCAAGGAAGAAATGGGGCACTCTGTATAATCAAAAATTATTTTATTTGAGGCATTTGTTGTGTTGTTGATATTACCAGAGCTGTGTAAGAATATAGGACATAATATACACATACAAAATGTTTTCGAAGGTGGGGTTTTAGTTTTAAGGGTTTGTTTTTCATGCCAAAATAATGCGTTTTACAAATGATTACTCTAATAATAGTGATAATAACAGAGGTACTTACATTTGAAGTTAATGAGACTTGTGACGCTTCATCATCAATCATGTGGTGATCCTTACAATGAACGGAAATAAATCAATCTAGATCGTTACTCCTTATCATTTCAATAATCGATTTTGTTCTAAGTTTTCTTAAGTTTTAGCTTGAGATTCTACTAATCGCTTCAGATCTAAGTTTCAGTTTGATATACTGGTTTTAATATCGTTGTTAGTGAAAGGTTACTGGGGATATCGTTGTCAGTTTAACAAACTTTTTGACTTTCTTGGTAGTGTAGTGACAAACACTTTTATAATAACGAACTTTTGCGCTATTGTCGTGGATTTTGATTGGTCGATTGCCTATCAATATTCTTATCCTTTGGCGTATTAAGGTGATCATACACCCTCATTTTGGAACCGGATTGAGTGACGGTTCATGGGGGTTTTTAGATTTATCGGGTGCCTCCCCCTTCACACCAAACTCAATGGACATTTAGGATAGAGCTTTCTCCATTGATGAGGAGATGGATGGAACTTGGGATAACGCTATCTATTTTGTACCTAAAGATGTATTTGGCACTGCGATATGTTTTTGTTTATGAGTTTGTTTTGTTTTGAAACTTTTCAACTGAATCCTTACTTTGCACTTTGTTCTATGGAGCACATTCGAATACCTTGTGCCTCTTTATCACTGTCTATGGCGTGATAAGCTAAAGCACTAAAGTTTATGTATGTGAGGCCTCCTTAGAGAGACTGTACGAGAAGCTTTAGAAGCTTGATTTGATTTACCTCCTCGGTGGGCTAGTGTATGACACCTTTAAGATCTTTACGACAGGGTGGTCGGGCCTGGGTGGTAGGCTTTAAGTGCAGTAGGAGCCCCGGTTTGTATTTTTTAGGAGAAAAATAAAGCTCGAATTTTAGATTTTAAAATGAATTATTAGTCAATTTATGTAAAATAACATAAACGCAAGCAACAGTTTGTATATGTATAAAAGCACAAGAAGATTCCGACACTGGTAATTAAACCGCACGGGCTGACGTTCAAACGCTGCTAACGCTGGCTCCGCAGGATGTGCTGGAGTGTAATCCGGGTGAGATCTGGAAAATTCAATCATTGCGTTACGGATTGTGGGCGTTTCGAAAGAGTTGAGGTGTTGAAAATTATTATAACGCTGACCCTGAGGTGGCTTTGAGGTGTGAGGTTTGAATTTTTCGGACTCTTATTTCGTAGATTTTGGAAAGGTAGTTGAAAATTTTGATGCCTTTATGTGCCGTTAGCGGCTTCTGTGCGATGACTTTTGGCAACTGAAGAAGAAATTCTTAACGTTATTAAATAACTTACAACTAACACCAGACAAATTTCTCGGGAGTAACGCATCCCACACTAAACTTTGGAAAGTTTTGCATAAAAACTAACTGTATTTATATTACGTTCGTTGTGTACAAACATTGAGATTAAAAGACGATATTGCCAGGTAGTTTTTGCAAATGGTTATCGGAACAACATAACTATAATGAAATTGAATTTTCATAATAGCCATATTCATAGAAAATTTCCTTAGGTCCCAAAAAAGAATTTCCAAGATATATTTTCAATTAACCTATGAGCGGACATTATTAATGGTACCTTTCATTCTGCTACAAACATTAACTCGTGCCCACTATATGTATTTATTTTCAAAATGATTTACCTGTTATTTTTGAAGAATATACCATCTAATCTTCGATATATGTAGTGGTGCTCCAGCACACTTGCATTACGAGATACTCAATTTTTTAAGAGGGTTTCCTGAATCTCATAATCTTGGATATGCCGAACACGTTTCTTTGCTCTAAAAAGCGGCGACACTTTTGAACATTTGTTATACTTTTCCCTTTTTATAACGTCTGACGGTTTTGCAACTTTTAATACGCCAAATGTGTTTCGATTCATATTTTAACGCACCTAAACAATCGATTTTGTTCAGAGGAAATTTAAGGCCATGTCCATTGTCCAAGGCTATCAGAATATTAATTTCTTGATACCTTATCTCAAATATTTTTTTGATAAGACTCAAACCAGAAAAATTATCGGAGGCATCGGAACACCCTATATATTTTTACACTGTTTCGTTTTGGTATAAATAGGGATAGCTGTTAAAATAAAAAGCCCACTTCAGAAACTCCCTTTTTATTCCTGGAACTACCCTACCACAAAAACCAAGTTGCATTACAAACTTGTTAAATAAAATAACAATTACTAGCACTTAAAAATATACAGGGTGGTCCGAATTTTATGCAGGAAACTTCGAGGGCAGATAGATCTCTTTAAAATAATAGCAGTTCGCCTTATAAACATAGGTCTGGAACGGCCTCGTTTTAGAGATACAGGGTGTTGAAGTTGTTAAAAAAAATCGACTTTTTGTTTATATCTCCGGAATCTATTAACCGATCTCAATAAAATTTGGTACAAATAATATATGATAGTAGGTCTTGCATTCTCTAAAATATGAGCTCTAAAGGTTAAACCAGTGGTGTACAACTAGACAGGGGTCACCCCCTTTTTTATAAAAAAACCTACGCCACTGCATTTTTTACAAGTTATTGTAACGGATTTGTATTCTAATGCATAAAATACGTAAAAAAGGTATCTTCAACTTTTTCCCTAAGATTCGCCGTTCTCAAGTTATTCATACCAATACAATCCCCTTGTGCAGACACTTTTAACCATAACGTTACAAGAATATTTATGTTTATGCTTAAAAGTATACATATTTATAAGCACATCAACAAAATTCTCTACACTTGTTTCCACACCACCTGTGAGATAGACTTCCTGGTGCCTTTTAGTTTACCCTGGAAGCCCCTAATCCACTATCTTTACAAATAAGAACAATTTAAGTAAATCAAAATAATAATAAACGTACATTTACCAAAGAATAACTAAACAAGAAACAAAATTAATGTTACATTTTTACAACAATTATTCACAATGCAAACCACCTCGTCCACCTACGCGATAAGAAATAAAATATTATTCTTAATAAAAAATATCTAGTTACAGGGCTTAATAACCAACCCTGAAACAAATTCATTGTTGTCAACGTAAACAGCACTGTCAAAGTATTGTAGTTATTAATAGGTACATTATGCCACGAACCTTTACTAACGAAGAATATGCAGATTTTCATTTTATTTATGGATTTGCTAATGGTAATGCTGAAGAAGCTGTACGTGAATATCGAAGACGATACCCCAACAGGCGACAACCAAACGCCAATGTGTTTATTGAAACTCATCGTCGCTTTCGTCTTTTTGGGTTGAAACAATATTTGGAAAATCACGATCGACGCAATGAAAGGCACAGAAATGAAATTTTAAGAGCATTTGACGATGATCCTCGGCTAAGTACAAGAAGAGCGTCTTGGCAACTTGGGGTGAGCAAATCCAAAATTTTAAGAGTTCTACATAGGGATGGCAGAAATCCATACCATTTACAACCTGTGCAAAATTTACTTTCGGAAGACGTAGAGAGACGCCTTAATTTTTGTCAGTGGTTGTTAAATAAGTCACAATATAATCCAGAATTCTTATTAAAAATACTTTGGACCGATGAGGCTATGTTTACAAGGCGAGGAGTAGTGAATTTTCACAATTTGCATATTTGGTCACAACAAAATCCTCATGAAATTCGGAAAAGATCTTTTCAACACGAATTTTCTGTGAACGTGTGGCTCGGAATAATTCGCAATAAAGTTTGTGGACCTTTCTTCTTACCACCCCGTCTAAACTCCCAGTCATTTCTAAACTTTCTGGAAAACCATCTATTTGAATTATTAGAGGATGTTCCATTAAATATACGACAAGATAGCTGGATACAAATGGATGGTGCTCCTGCGCATTCTGGGAGAATAATACAAGAATGGCTTCATGAAAATTATATGGAGCGATGGATAGGTAGAAGACCAAATGCCAATGTCAACCATAATGGTGCAGAGGGTCCAGTGTCTTGGCCAGCCAGATCGCCAGATCTAAACCCCCTGGACTTCTATGTTTGGGGTTATCTGAAAAGTAAAGTTTACTCTACTCCAATAGAGACAAGACCACAATTACTGCAGCGAATAGAAGACGGCTGTAATGAATTAAAAGAAAACCCCCACATGATATTAGCTTCAATTAGTTCTATTAATAGAAGATGTCAGGAATGTATCAATGTGGGTGGTTCGCATTTTGAACAATTGTTGTAAAATTAATTTTGTTTTTTGTTTAGTTGTGGCTTGGTAAATGTATTTTTATTATTAAATGTAAATGCATTTTTATTATTATTTTAATTCAAATTATTCTTATTTGTAAGGATAGTGTATTAGGTATTAGGTTTCCTTTAGGAATCTAAAAAGCGCAAAGAACACTACCTCACAGGTGGTGTGGAAATGAGTGTAGAGAATTTTGTGCTTACATATTGCACTTACTTAAGTATAAACATAAATATTTGTGTAATATTATGATTAAAAGTGTCTGCCACAAGATCGTATTGGTATGAATAACTTGGGAAAGATAAATCTTAGGAAAAAAAAATCAAGTTACCTTTTTTACGTATTTTGTACATTAGAATATAAATCTGTTACAATAACTTGTAAAAAATGCAGTGCCGTAGGTTTTTTTTATAAAAAAGGGGGTGACCCCTGTCTAGTTGTACACCACTGGTTTAACCTTTAGAGCTCATATTTTAGAGAATGCAAGACCTACTATCATATATTATCTGTACCAAATTTAATTGAGATCGGTTAATAGATTTCGGAGATATAAACAATAAGTCGATTTTTTTTAACAACTTCAACACCCTGTATCTCTAAAACGAGGCCGTTCCAGACCTATGTTTATAAGGCGAACTGCTATTATTTTAAAGAGATCTATCTGCCCTCGAAGTTTCCTGCATAAAATTCGGACCACCCTGTATTTTACATTTTTACTGATAGTACGTTGTGATACGAGTAGTATCACCATATTATTCATTATCAACGTAATTTATTACCAACTTGTAATCTACTACTACTGCAGGTGTTACTCATTAATAAATCATTTTTTAATGATTTTCCTGTTTGATTATTGACACAACTTGCTAACATTCAATACATTTTACACCTAATAAATTGTTTGCAACAAAAAAATTTTTAAAACGGTTTATAAATTAAACATTTCATGCATTCATCGAATGATACAAGTCTGATATGTTATACGTGTTTTATGTTTAAATGATACAGGGTGTTCTTGAAAGAGGCGTGTTTCTGGTATTAGTTGCAGATTGTTTTTTGACAATACTAATAACTTTTTATTCGATTTGTTGAGCTCGCTGAACGATGTAAACGAATTTTCGGAGTCTCTAGATAGTCGAAGAACGAGTATATCAGTTATCACTAGTCACTTAAAAGTTTATTAAACAACTAACAATAAAATCGAGCATGAGACATCTTAATTGATTCTGGCATTTTTTTTGACATTTATCATAAATTAAAATCATGTCAACTTTTTCATTGTTTGTGAACATTTTTTAATTTTTAGCAACCACTTACTAGTTTGTTTCTGATGCAACACATAGCGTTTGACAGAAATTAATGTGGCAACAGACTTGTGACAACAGTTTCAGCCATTGTTTCCACAGCAATGTTGATTAAATCATGACTAATTCCAGTACAATAGTACAGACAAGCTATTTTGTCTGTGACAATATAATTTTTGTATAATGTTTATTATTGTAACTTTTTATGGAGAAGAGATAGAGGCAAAATTTCTGCACAAAAAATGTTCATAAAAAATAAATCAGTTTAGTAAGTTTTTCGTTTGTCTGTTATGGGCCGAGACGCGATCTTTGGGACACCCTGTACCTTAAATATAACAAATTGATAATAATTAATAATATTAATTACTAATCCAGTATAAGCACAATAGAATTGGATCCGTCTAAAACATTTAACCTTTAAATTATCGAAAACTCTAAATAAAAGTTATCATAATTTCATATCATATTTACATTAAGTCTTCATTTGGTGTCAAATAAAATTTGTATTAGATAACAAAAGAGATAAAAATATATAAACACAAATGAGTTATGGTAAAGATACAAATCAATAAAAATTCCACTTGCTACAAATAGAAGTACATTTATCTATAGTTACTAACTGAAATAATAGATTATCTTATTTAATTATAGTTATTTTTCAGAAAACATGGATGAAACAGCTGCTGAGAAACAAGATAATCATCCAGTAGAAGATGAAACCAACAACGATGAATGTTTAGAAAATATACCACTTAATCAACAGAAGGAAGATGGGAAAAGTAATACAGAGGTACTAGATATACCAGAAAAAAATGAAGGTACACCATTAGAAGAAACAACTGACATACAACATGAGAAAGAAAAACAAATATCGGATCAAGACATAATACTGAGAAGCAGCGAACCAAAAGAAACAAAACCAAAGTGGAACCAAAAATGCACTGTAATAACTTTACTATCTAGTGACGCAAGAGACGAAAATGCGTATGTTGGCAGTGGAAAAAATCCTACAGAAACAAAACCAAAGAAAATACCGAAAGTTCTAAGCAAACTATGCCTTGGTCCAGCCAGTGATGACTCGGCCATTGGAACTATCTCCGAAAAACCCAGACAAGATGAAGCCGAGGAAAGTGAAGCATGCGATGACGGGGCAGACGCCAAAGAAAAGAAAATAGTTTACAAGAACGGCACATCGAAAACTAAGACAGTGATAACTATGTTCAAAAACAGAAGTGACAATTTAGAGTGTTCGGACCAACACAGTGGAGATTCGGAAACGGACGTGAACGATAATAAAACGGAAAACACTGTGAAAAAACTGAATGACAAAAACATGGACCTAAAGACTTCTATAACGCCTAAAATGCTGAGAAGGATGTTTTCCAGGAAACGCAGCAGTTCCGTGGAAAGTGCTGATGAAAGGCATGAAAAATTGAAAGATATCAGCCTAACAGACAACACGGCTGCTACGCCACCTGTTATTTTAGATTCCGAATGGGAAGACGAAGACGTAGAACTGAGGAAGAAGCCCCAATCCTTGAAGCACACCATCACCGTAGGTTTCAGGAACTCTTTCAGATTGAAGAGGACACTTAGTGAACCTTCAAACAAAAGTAAGTACCAAAATTCAACATGTATGTTAAAACCAAAAAAAAAAACAAAATAAATAAATAAATAAATAAAAATAGTAGTAAACACTGGAAAATACAGTAATATTTAACATAAATTAACGGTGCAAAAAAAATAAGTAATTTATTCCATCAGAAGCCAGAAAAACAGAGTAGGTATATGTTTACAGACATCGGATAGAAACGAAAGTTTTGTTTTTTAAATGTAATCTTGTAAGTAGATTTTTTACGATTACAGAATTACTTTAATAAAAAATATTATAAAGTCAGTATGAAAAATTAAAAAAGAATTCGCTTTTATTTCATTATAGATTTATCACTGCCAGGAAAACTTAAAACCCCTTATAAAATCGGCTTATAATTCCTATTTAAAATAAAGGGACATTAAAATTTTATTATATACCTAAATTATAAAAAACAAAAAAAAACGTTATCTAACAACCTCGCAATTTTTCATGATAGCGATAATAATAATATATTATCAAATGAAATTCCTGATGCACTTTGCAATCTCTTCATGTCCATAGCAATAATTCCCATTCTTTCCGGTTTATTGCAAGCGCTCAGGATTTTAATGACTTTTTTGTTAACAAGTTTCCATCGGTTAATGTTGATAATGACTATATTGCTGATACCTACATGGATAAACTAGCGCCTAATATAAAAAGTTTAAATTTAATAATGTTTCGTCACAGAGGGTACTGGAAATTCTTAACACTATCAAATTGAATGCGAAAGGAGTTGACGGAATTAATTGTAAGATGATAAATTTGATTATACCTCATTTACTCAATCACATTACTTTTATTATAAATGAATGCTTGAACTCCGCTTCTATTCCATCTTGTTGGAAGGATGCTGTAGTCATCCCTATACCTAAGAATTCAGAACCCTCTGATTTAACACATTTTCATCCTATTAGTATACTCTATACCTTTACAAAAATTTTGGAAAATATTGTTCATGAACAGCTGACGTTCTCTCATCAACGCAGTCATGATTTCGAACGCATCATAGTACTTCTACTGCACTGCAAAAAATGTGAACCTTGAAAAACGTAAAATTACGGCACGAATCATTGGCAATTCTGTTGCCTATGATTCGTGCCTGAATATTACTGAGCTTATATAAATTTACAAAAAAGTTGTAAATTCACATCGTAATTTTAAATAGATCCATACATATATTACCGTGTGATTTTACATATATAATGTTACAATTTTAATAAGTACTAATTTAATTTTACCTTGTAAAACTGTAATTTTACTTTGTAAAATTGTAATTTTACTCTGTAAAATTGTAATTTTACATTGCAAAATATTAATGTTATCATGTAAAATTGTAATTCTACAACTTAAAATTGTAATTTTAATCTGTAAAATTTTTGTTTTACACACTATTTTTACAATGGTGTTGTAAAACTATTTTGTGTTTTTTAGGTTCACACAGTAAAATTGTATTATTTAGGCCCGGTACTTTGAGTCTTGGTTAAAGCTGGATTAACTCATCAGACTGATTAGACTTTACATATACTGATTTATTTTATAAATCACAGTCTAATCACTTGATTAGTTGATCAAACCTTAACCGAGACTCAAAGTACCGGGCCTTAGAGATATTTTTACACCTACATGTAGAAATGCAGTGTATTTTCACTAAATAATGCATATGGTGTAAGTTGAAAATTTTACGTAGATATAATTTAGAATAATGTAACATTTAAGTTTCATACTACAAAATTATAATACATACCTTTTTTTTACTTTTTCGTAAAGGTGTCAAACTAACTTAAATCAATTCCCATCAATGTAATTTTGTGCAGAAAAATTCAAAAGTGAGCTGTGCGCTGAACTTTTGTTATTAATTAACAGTTAATAAGTTTTAATACACACATTTCACATACAATGTCACTAACAGCAATGCTATTGTACATAAATATTAAATAATAAAGTACTTATTGTTAACTTCAAATTTAAACTTCGTTAATAGGTATAAATTTATTAAATTTCAGTAGGATATGCTATTTAAACTTCGTAGCGCTGGATTTAAGTAAAGTAAAGTTTAAGTAAAGTAGTTCTGAAAGTTTTTGTTAAAATAAAGTTTATTTTGGACAACTTTGACTATCTGTTATTCGAAATTAAATTTAATCAAAAAGCAAAAAATATAATGTAATGTAACCTCCAAGTCAGCCGAGCTAACCCAAACATATTAGAATTGGATCTCTTAAAAAAGTTATTAAGTTAGTTTAAATATTAAGAATAAGTATATGATTAAGAATGGACAATCTCTAAACAGGAGTTACTACAGACCAAAATGTGTTCTGATTTATTGAAGTAACAGAGAGTAATACCTGTACAAATAGCGGCAAATTCAGCATAAAATTCGTAATTCTCGTGCCAAAAAACATAAAATCACCAATTTTCGAGTTGATTCTGCTGAAAATTTAAAAATTATTGAGAAATTTGAAATTAAAATTCCAACTTTGTTGTTGGTCCAGTTTAGAGATTGCCCATTCTCAATGAACGACCCTGTATATGAGTATCAAATCAATGGTTAAGAATTCTTAATATTGTTAAATTTTAACTAGCCACTTTTTGGTACACATTATCAAGTCAATAAAATCGTTAATTGTTAACAATTAAGACATTGCTTTTTTAATTAAGAGTTGCCTACAGTAATCCATATCTTTTCGAGGAAAAGAACTTTTTTCGTATAAAATAAACACGAATAAAACATAGTTTCATAACTCCTAGTCTAAACTACAAAATAAACTATTTATTTTATTGTAAAGGTATTACACTATAATCCTACAATTATGTACTAATGTTTAAGAGTAAATTTTGTAATTAGGAAAGTTATTTAATAATTTCATTATATCAGGCATGTGTATTTGCGTAGATTATTGTTATTTTAGATAGCTTCTGATTCCATCCTTGTCTGTGGAATTATTTCTTTACCATATCCAACATTCAGCTTATTATCAGTTATTATCAAAGAACTATTTCATACTATATGAATTGATTAGAATTAGCTTAATACCCTTAGAATGAAGAAAAAACCAATAATGAAATAGATGTGAGTAAAATATTGTGGAAGTAATTCATTGCTGGTCGAGGCAGAGTGGTTATTTCTCATCATATCATTAATATTTATACCTAATAATAATATTATGACAAAATAAACTACTTCCACACATATTTATTAAAATTATAAATTAGTTTAAATATCTTACCTTTATCTTTTTTAAGAAAGATCACTAATTGTAAGTATAACGCACAATATACGCACGACTCACTACTACAACTACACAGCGTGGTCTGTCTGACCAATTGCATCATTGCTAGTCTAGACGCGCTGTTGTTTCTACATTAAATCTTCTGTAAATATAGTTACCCTTTAATGTAAAATCACATAACCAAATGAAATATACATTTTTAAAATTTTTTAACTGTGGTAATAGCACGGTGTAAATTTACCGAAATTGAGATTATAAAGTAAAAACACATAACTTTCTTAGTAAAATATAAATATTTTTATTATTACGAAGAATATTTAATTTTACTTTACTTATTATGTAATACTGTAGTGTAAATTCACAAATGTATTGGATTTTTACCCCAATTTTTAAGAGTGTGCTCTATTACATGTATCGGATGAGTTATATAGAGCATATGATAATAATGAGTGTCTTGCGTTGCTTGATTATAGATAGCAAGGCTTTCGATACAATTCATCGTGCTACTTTATGCTGTAAACTTAAATATTTTGGACTTGATTACGGAGTTGTTAACTTTTTTGAGTTATTTGTCAGGTAGACGTCAAAAAGTTGTTATTAGTGGAAATTCTTCTACCTTAATTAATATTACTGTGGGAGTGCCATAAGGTAGTGTGCTGGGTCCCTTGCTGTTTTCAATCTATACTGCATACTTACCGGGTGCGGTTAGAAATGCCCATTCGCATCAATATGCAGACGACTTTCAAATATATTTTCGTTTTCCACTGCCAAAGTTTCTGTTAACACGATTTTATACCTAAAGCATTATAGTATTTCCGAAGTCAGTTGAACATGTATAAAAACGCCTAGCAATAACATTTAATGAGTTTCATAGGCGTCCCTAAAAAAATTTTCCTAAAAGTAGAAAATTATAATAATTTGTATATAATGTGTAGAAAATTTCTATTATATGTTCATTTGACCAACAACATATTTTAATTATTTACGTCCTCAAACAATTTTATTATATTGATGGTAAATTTCGTTTTGTTCCGTTTCAAAAGGTCTCCAAAATGCTGAATTGCAAAATGTTGTAATAATATTAGTAAACAAAATATCATTTTATTTCTCCCTTTCGCAATTGTGATGAATGATCAATATAAGGTGCCTATAATAAATTAAAATTACCTGCATTGCTGCACTGCACTGCTAGGCCATTTGTCAACAACTGAATTTATGGCCAGGTCGCCCAATGCGGTTGTGTTTGTGGCGGGATTGCCCGCGCGCTCATTCTTCAACTGGGCGACTAGACCTCTATATGGGTATGGCTAAATAAATATGGGAACAAGTTTTTCAGATATTTCAATGTCGAGTTGCTGCGTCAGCGATCGAACCTGGTACATACTGCCAACCTCTTGGTTCTTCAATTGCAATCGGAAAGACTATAAATGATTAATTATATCATATTTAAAAGATGGCTGCTCTGCTCAATACAAAATCTAATTCAGGTGCACCTCAAGATTCCAAATTAGGCCCGCTCTCTTTTCTTATTTACCTAAAGTAATGCATAATTCTAAGTCAAACTAATAAGTTAGATTTTAACATTGTACATAAATGTTGAACGATAGTTTTCACAATAAAACTTTATAAAATGAATAATAATAAACTAGGTTTTCTTTTAATTGTTGTCAAATTTAATTCTATTTAGCAGTTCTCATAAAAGCTACAGCTATCTTATTATAAAAGCAACTATTAATGAACGAAAAATTGAAGTAAACTGAAAGTCATTTTAATAAGACTAACCATTTTCAAGATAAAGCAATAAAGAGCTCATTAAAAATATTCAGTTTAATCGTATTATCATTAATGAGTCATAAAGAAACTTAAAAGAACAATAGCACAATTATAACTAATAATTTAAGAATTAAATTTTACGTTTTTTGTGTGCTTGTTGCTTCTTATAAAGTCGATTTATATTATCTGCTGTTTGATTTATGTATTTATATAAAATTTTGTGTAGAACTGCGTTAAAACTTTTAAATTTGAATATCCTTGGATTTTGTACACACTTTTAAGTGCCTAGATAAAATTTAGTAGTTTAAATATTGCATTATTTAGAGCGATGTCAATATCTACCGACGTCGCTCTAAATGCTGTAAACAATGCGACATTTAATATCTCTAGATCTCATCTAGACACTTAAAATGTCACGTATATTTGTAGCCTTAGACTGTTATCGCTAAGTTTGATTAAATTAAATTACTTGTTGACATGAAATTGAATGTTGCCACTTCCAATATGTTGTAAACAATGACCTTAGTACTAAATTGTAATGAATCAATTAGTTTTTTCAAAATTACAAAAAAATGTTCAATTGCATTTTTCATTGAACTTTTTCAATTGCATGTTTAATATTCTATCTGGAAAACGAATAAATATGTGACAATTAATATGTTCTTTTTCAGAACGGAGGTACGACCTAACACCACAAAGATCCAACACCCTGAGGATATTTTCAAAGGCTTTATTCCAGTTCCAAGTTTCCGAACTGTAAGTACATGTCGAGTTACTTTCATTATGACCCGTTTTGATTTTAAACAGATGCTATCCAATTAAGTTTGACAGTTCGTTGTATAAAAAAAGAGGCGGAGAGAACTCGGAGGCACCAAAGGCTCGTTTAGTGTACTTCACGCATATTATCGAGATGAGGAACGAATATAAACGAAAATGTAATTCTCTAAATAAGATAAACTATAAAACAACACCTAATAAGTAATCTAACAGAAAACTCAAACGGTAATAAAGAAATAATGATAAATGAAATACACTAAAGTGTAAATAATCTGTTTACTTACTTGATTTTTACAGCATATGATATACTTGAAGCCTTATGGCTAATATTCCGGGTATTGGTGCCTAGTCTATAGGAGCCAGATAAGGTTCCGTGGCCAATCAGAGTGTCACGGCTGCAAACAACTTATTCTTAAGTATTTTGACCTCCTGAATTCAAAAAACTTGGTCGCAAAGCCTGAAAGTGGTCAGTTTAATTGTTATTAACAAATTAAATGTTTAAATGGCTCTAAAATGTTTATTTTTAAAGCTTGTACAATTTTTTATTCGTTAATAGTAACGTTTTCTTATAACAAACATATATTTTTTTGAAAATTAAAAAAGATTCATTTTAACCAAAGTTATTGCAAATTTAGTGCAAATACCTTACGTTTTCCGTCTCAGCGCGCACCAATTTTACCATATCTCGGGTTCTATTGGACGGATTGAGACGCACGACATCTCATTTTAAAGCTTGAACTTTATTTTACAAGATAGATAAGTTCAATTTATTAATTTATTTTTTTAACAATTAATGGCAGCTTAGAAAGTTGTGAAATTTCAACGATCATCCTGGTTTTATTTGTTTATAAGGCTTTTTATTATTCAACTTCGATGAAAAGCCAAAAAGTTACCGGATATTGTTCCTCGCATCCTAACAATCATTTCATGGCTTACAGTTATTAGTTTTTCTTTATCAAAACCCGTGAAGAGACGCGGGTACGTCGAAAGCTATGTACGCTCGATCGAAAGCTCACAGTGCAAGAGCGCGACGTTTTATAAACTTTTATTAATAAGAAGCCACAAATACTAATTAATAAAAGAGCATTAACAATTGATTTAATTACTGATTTTTATAAGATTTACATAAATAATAACAACAATTGTTGGTATTTGCACTAAAACAATAACTCTGGTTAAAGTTAATCTTTTTTTAATTTTAAAAAATTGTACTAGCTATAAAAATACATTTTTTACATTTAATTTGTTAATAACAATTAAACTGATCACTTTCTGGCATTGCGACCAAGTTTTTTGGATTCAGGAGGTCAAAATACTGAAAAATCAGCTGTTTGCAGCCGTGGCACTCTGATTGGCCTCGGAATCTTATCTTGTGTTGGTTGTTTTTTGATACAACGGTACATTTACTAGACGAGTTAATTTTAGTTGCTTCTTAACTGTCATCCTTGCTTATCTCTCTTGCCTTCGATTAGTCGCTCTTCGTAGTGAACAGATCTTCATTTTTTGAACACGTACCATCCTTTCACGGAAGACTTATCTGACACCGTTTTACCTTCGTTCATATTAAATGACGTTTCTAGAAATTAAAAACTAAAAACGGTTGCGGCTTCAAATAAGTACCTAATTAACGCAGATAGCGTCGTTTTGATACGAGCACATTTTGCTCGCAAACAGGTACTAGATTTCGGATGGCTCTTGTATTAATGTTTTGGCTTTCTAAGTAGTGTAAATATTATTATTTGAGAGTTCACTGGCGATATCCCTGGGATCCGTCCAATATCACTTTAATGGCAATAATAAAAAATAAACAGCGGGCAGCTGCAGTATTTATTTACATTAGTTGGGACATCAAAGAGCTGGGAATATAGATTAAATTTATTCTATTTTTGTTGCCGTTACTGCCAAATATTTATGTCGTTAGAATAATGCCAAGAAAGTATTTTGTGTATATTTAAATTAAATATTTCATAGCTTATTTCTAACTAAAGTACAGATCGTTTAACGACAATTTACGCATCGTCTATGGCTTAAGGTTTTTTAAATTTCAAAAATTAGAGAAAACTAATTTGCTTTTATCTGTGATCTTGATGAGTGATGACGAACTATTAATGGTTTTGTCTTGCAGTTTTATTTGTGCCTTACAAAATGAAGTAAAACGAATAAAAGGTAGAAAAATGTTCTTCCATACCAACTTTTGATTGACATAAAATGTTCTGAAGTTCAACCCTCTTTATATTATAATTACACTTCTGTAATAATATCAGTAACTTTTTTAAATGTGTTAATAAATATAGATAAAGTCATGCTTCTAAATGGTATCAGTTATAATTGTTATAAAACATATTTATTGTGTTATATTTAAAACGATTTTTACTTACCTACATTAGTTAAAGTACTATTAGTTCTAGAACTAAATAATCATCAATTTCGTCATAACTAAATCATATATTTTCCGTCCGCTGCAAATTTTTAAGCCTGGCTATAATTTCAAATACCTTATAAGCCTTAGAGAATTTTTCCGTAGGATTCATTCTAGTCCGCTCCAAAATATTGATTAGCAGGAGAAACCTCTAGACTTCGTCTTTCACTGGCGTATGTTCCAATAGCTATATTTTAACCTCGATTTTACCATTACCAAAAATATACGTTATTAGACGAATTGCAGATGGGATTCATCATTTGTATTTATATAAACTCGAAACGTAACACGCAATTGTATCTAGCTAGTACTGTTATTGTTATTATTACAAAAATTAGATTGTTTCTCATTTAAAAAAGACAGTCAATTATTAAGGAACTCCAGCAATATGTAATGTATTTTTTAATATACAGTATGTCGCAAATACATGCAAACACATGTGAGGTCCGATGATCAGCCAAGGACAATTTTTTGGTGTCGAACATTCATAATGTAGAGCCTCTTGAGCCAGTGAAACATTATTATGTCTAGCCCAGTATTGTTTATTTATATTACGGTACGGGATACCGATGTGAACTATCGAGGATGCATTCGACTTTGAGTCTTCCCATAAGCATATATATATATTAGTGTCATATCAAGAAGATCATAAAATTAGTTTTTCAACGATGTATAATAACAATAACTTGCAACTACATTTGAATATTTGTTTTGAATAACAAGAAACTGTTTTTGTCTTAGTAGGCTTTGGGTACAAACTTCTAATGTTTTAAGTTTTAAGATTGGTTATAGACAACGCCGTTGTGAAAAGTTGTCACTCTTATCACTTTCATTCAATACAGGTGTACTAATTGTAGAAATAACAATACATATTTGTTTTGGAAATCCTAGCAAATATTAGTCGTATGTTTAAAAATGCTTCGTAACTTTAGTACTATTTGTTTGATATTACAATAACAAATATTTTCCTTTCTAATTGCATGAGTAATTACTATTTATTTAATTTTTGTGGGTTCGACTTACCGATAAACTTTTTATGACATAATCTGTTTTGCTGATTTTAAATTAAAAAAAAATAATGTTGCTGTTATTTTCTCGATATCAAATAACTATTGTTAGTGAAAAGTTGAGAATAAATTCAACTCAACGACTATGGCTACAGGCGTGGAGTCCCGAAAATCTGGATTGAGACTGGATTGTGGTATCGAATGAGTGCAATTTCACCGACATGTTCTGTACAGGACGATGTGGAACTGATGGTCAGCCACCATTACACGAAAACGGAAAGAGCAAACAAAAATGATGTTATGTTGTTGCTGGATATTTAAAATTCTATCTTGGTAAATTTAACCAATTGAATTTAAAACAAAACTTATCAGCTCCTTGCTCGATGACACGAACATTTTGTCACTTCGGACGCATGTTATGAAATAGTACATAAGTGTAGGATCTACTTTTCTGAGGCAATGCAATTGGAATATTTTTGGAAGGTCATGTTCATTTTGGAACGCATATTGTTTTCTGCTCTTTTAAAGAAACTTTTTCCTCATCCAAACGTTAGGAATACTGATTTGAAAGTTAATCTTTGCAATTCCCTTGTTATTTCTAAAATAAATTCCATACAGTGATGGTGTCTACGGCCCTTCTCCTACAAAAAGCTACTCGGATTGTAGAGAATCCGGAATTCGTGTTTTAGGTTCGCTTACGGCATAAGAAAATATGACCGTGGGATTAGTAAATGCATTCATGACTCTCGAAACAAACCTGAAATTTGATAAACTAGGAAAACTGTTTGTTTATAAGATTGTCGTGGGATTTTGAAAACTGATTCCGATTTTCACACTTGCTAGCACTAAATCGTCACCATAGATGACCTAGACTGGCTATAGGGCGATTATGATGAAGACAATTGGGAGCCTAGTCGGTAGCCCAGCATCAGTCGTATCTGGAAACTTGAGCTGTACGCGTCGATTTGATTTCAATAATTAGTTTTTTTTTTCATGGGCAGATGTATTGTAGGACATTGTGTAAATAGAAGTGAACAAGTTGGTGAAGAAAGCCGAAAAGTTTCCTTCTCTAGATAAGTAAAATAAGCAATATATAAAACATAAATTTGAGCCATTACATACGCCATTATTTGGTTAAGATCAGAGTATTCCAGTGTTGACTTTATAATTTTGTTCGTACACATAGTGCAATGGTAAACGTGATATTATTATAAATTGTTAATAAAATAATGTTTACGTAGTAGTCTCCAATTTATATAAAATTTTTGAAATTCCCGTAATTTTGAGGGAGCTGAAAATGAATATATTATTTTTTGCGATCGAAAAATTACAAAAAATTAATTTCAAATTCATGTTCAGCACCCTGGAAAAGCGGGGTTGGCAAAATTTGATTAGAAAAATGACAGTTTTATAGTAAAATAAATAATTACCAAATTTTTATACCTGCTTCGATATTTTCGAATCTAATATTTTAATTTTTACTGATTTGTAAAAGATATTGACATAAAGTACAGATAGGTGAATGCTTTTAAAAAACAGGATTGGGTAGGTAC